GAGAGAGAGAGAGAGAGAGAGAGAGAGAGAGAGAGAGAGAGAGGTCTATGGGTGGTCCTCCACCTGTGTCCTTTGTATATTGTATGAGGAGATGTCTCGGGTGGCTTCATGTGTATGCTGGTGCATGCTCTGTGCCTTTCTCAAGGTTTTGTAAATATATCATTTAACATTCTCTTCATTGATACATTCAACAGAAGTTTCTTTTTAATATTTTACTTATCTTTTAAAATTTTTATGTGGGGGCTGGAGAGATGACTCAGTGGTTAAAAGCACTGGCTGCTCTTGCAGAGGATCCAGGTTCAAATTCCTGCACCCACATGACAGCTAACAACAGTCTGTAACTCCAGTTCCAGGGATCCAACACCCTCTTCTGACCTTCCCAGACATTGCAGGACATGGTGCACCTACCTACGTGCACTCATACACATAAAAATAAAATTAATAAATTATTTTTCAAAATTTTATGTGTATGAATGTATTGCCTGCATGCATGAATTGAACCCAGGTTCTCTGCAAGAGCAGCCAGTGCTTATAACCACTGAGCCAGCCCCCTCAACAGAAATTTCTTGAACTCTGTCCTTGGTTCTGGGGATGCACTTGTGTACAAATATGACAATCTCAGTCTTCACAGAACTGACTCATTTCAAACTGGACAATCAGGGTTTTTTTGTGTGTGGTGGTGTGTGTGTGTGTGTGTGTGTGTGTGTGTGTGTGTACACATGTAAATGTGCTCTGCTAGAATGATAATGTGTCTGTGTATTAGGTGAGAATTTGTGTATAATTGAGCATCCCTGGGTTTTAGAACTGTGTGTGTTGGGTGTTTTTATGCATTGCTTGTGTGTGATTGCATTTGACAAGGGTCTGTATGTCTGTTTCCTAAGTATATTTTGTGGAGTGTGAGTTGTACATATATGTATATATGTGTGTGTGTTTATGTGCATTGTGTGTCTGTTTGCTAAGTGAATATTTGCAAATATATACATAGGTATGTGAATCTGTCTGCTGATCCTGTTTTTTATTAATTTTTTTTTGGTCTTTTTGAGACAGGGTCTCCCTGTAGCCCCAGCTGTCCTGGAACTCACTATGTAGAACAGGCTGGCCTTGAACTCACAGAGATCCACCTGCCTCTGCCTCCCGAGTGCTGGGATTAAAGGCATTCACCACCATGCCCAGCTTGTTGTTGTTCTTTTTTGGGACATAGTCTCCTTGTAGCCCCAGCTGGCCTGGAACTCACTATGTAGATCAGGCTGCCCTCAAACTCACAGAGACTACCTGCCTCAGACTCCTGAGTGCTGGGACTAAAGGTGTGTGTCACCACACCCAGCTTGTATATGTGTTTTTGTCAGGAATCTGTCTCTCTCTTATCCAAGGGTAAGGCAGACTTTTTTCAAGATTAATTTTTTAAAAAAATTTTTGTGCATGTGTGAATGTGTGTCTGTATGAATACAGGTGCCTGTGAAGATTAGAGGCCTCAGATCACCTGGAGGTGGAGTTACAGAAACCAAACTCCTCTGCTGGAGAAGTAGGTGCTCTTAGTTACTGAGTCATCTCTCTAGCCCTAAGGCAGGCATTTTTTGTCTCTTTGACTGCGTTAATCCCAAACTGCAAAACCCACTATTTTGCACTCTCACACAGTAAGTGCTCAGTAAATGCATAGAGAAGGAACAAGTCAATGGTCTATTTTTTCCTTCCCCTTTTCCCCCTCCCACCCATCCCAAACAGTGACATCACCCAGACCTTAACAGCCAAATCTTACAAGACCCAGCCTTTGCCTGGGGTGAACCATCTCTGGGTTATGCCTCCTTCAAGACTCTGTGCATCTCTCTTCTGACCTCATCTCCCTTTCTCTTCTGACCTCATCTCCCTTGGCAGTGTTCACATTTCAGCACCGCGGACAGGAGTGTAAGGCAGAACCACGGACAGCTCTTCTTCCATGGACCTGAGTCAAATATAAGCCTTAGCGAGATAGCCACACAAACTTGCTGATTAATAAGGACAGAGAGACACGAACAACAATGACACAGGCAAAGGTGTAGATACGACCAGCTATTAGGAACACCTGACCCAGACCTGGAGGTCCCCTCCGTTGTCCGGTAGGGGTCGCTCTCATCTAGAGAACCTGTCCTCCAAGACTTTGGGTCAGGTATAGGCTCCCACCCTAAGAAAGCCCTTGCCTGCTCTGTCCAGGTCTCAGATGCTCTCCTCTCCAACCCTGGGAAGCACGGTCCGGTTGGGCCTAGGTTGAGTGAACACAGTGTGTGTACGCACGTGAAAATCGCTTCATCTTCCCTCTCCCAGTTACCAGCTAATCGCTGTTATAAATACCTCCCGACCTGGCCTGACTCCTTAATCCTGACCACAAGGGACATCTCTTGGGGGTGCTGCAGGACCTGAAGGGGCTCTGCAATGGCAGGGGGCGGTGCAGAGAAGGGGATCTGTATGCATGTAAAAGATTTATCTGAGGGGACATCTCCCGTGAGAATGGGTCTCCTTCCTGAACATGTGACGCCGGAAGAATGAATCTCTTGGGATCTGAGGGTGCTGCGCGGTAGAGACAGTTTCCCACAGAGAATATGGCTTTTAGGAGACCCTCTTTGGGGATAACCTCTCTAGGGTCTCCACATAGAGTCGCCTATGGGATCTTGAGGAGATGCCTCTTCAGGGAGGGGGATTGAGATGAATCAGACATCCTCTCTCTTAGGAGTGATTTTTCAGGGTGGGGGGCCAGCTCTTGACAGTCGCGTGGCAATGTCTCTGGGGGATCTTTGGTCGCAAAGGGAATTTTTCTGTGAGAATAGCTCCCTCGGCGGGTCTTCCTTCGGTTGGGGGGTCTATGCGTGAGAATGTCAGTCTTCTTAGGGTCTCGCCGCAGCACGACTCCCTCCCGGCCATCTGGAGGCTCCACCCCCAGCTAGCCCCCCGCCCCGCAGCGCGGGCAGCGGTGGCGGAGACCTGCTCCGGCGCTCAGACGCAGTGACGGCGCCGGGCCCGCCCCGCTTCGCCCCGCCCCCTCTCCCCCCAAGCCTCCGCCGCCGCGGTCCCGGAGGCTTCTCCCTTCCTCCCTCCTCCCTCCTCCCGCTGCCACCGCCTTCCTCCTCCCTCCCCAGGGCTGAAGTTGCCGCCGCCATGGACGATTCCGGCCTGATCCGCCGCCGCAGGCTGCAGGTACGCCGCAGCCCGGTCTGGGGTGGAGGGGATGGGGTCCGCGCCCTGGGGCGGGGCCGAGCAGAAGGCGGGAGAATTTGTGCCAGGGTCGGCCCCAGCGACCCCTCCTACTGCTTGGGGATGCTCTCTGCGGGGAGCACGGTGGCCACTCGTCCTGCCCGCTCCGGGGACCCCGCCCCTTAGGCGTCGCCCCGGGATGCGGAGAGCTGCTGGAGGCGATGTGTCCTAGCGCCCCCTCGAGGATATCCTGGAGGGCTCCGGGCCCCACTGGAGGCGAAGGGAGGTGGGCCCCAAGTCATCTCCCTGGCGCCCCGCTAGTCTAGGGTTGAAGGGGAGCCCAGCAAAGTTATTGCCCCAGGGCTTGAGCCACTCGGGGCCGCCAGCACCGCAGTAGCCGTAAACATGTTTGTGCAGCAGCCTCACCCCTCACCATCCCAGTAGCCCGTCCAGGCGTGGGACCCTGTGTTCTCCATGCATCTGTCTGGCCACTAGGATTCTTCCTACTGCCCTAATTGGACAGGCACCTAGACACCCCCCCCACTTGTCATTCCACCCCCTCCAACTACAACACCCCCTGCAGCCGCCCGCGATCCTTAAGTCCAGCCCAGCTTGTGGGTGGGCGGGAGCGATTTTTAGCTCCTCTTAGAAGACGTTGGTCACCAGGCTGCGCAGGCGCAGGAGGCGTGGGTCCACTGCACAGAGTGGGATACTGAGGGTTGTTGTGGAGTGAAGGGAACGCTGAGACAAGTTCAGTCGTCCGGATTTACCACGTCCAAGGTGGACAGGTATTCTCAGGCATTCCGTAGGTATTCCGGTCCCCTGTTTGACTTGGGCTTGTTGCTTCTGAGCTCGTAAGCTAACTCTTGGGGGATACCATCCTCCTCCCTGCCTGGGGGCTGACCTTCCCGAGGCTCCTTGGCGATTAGTCTAGAATTTAGACTAAGCCAAGTATGGGTCCAATCTCTTGTCCAATTCTAGACTCCCCTAATCCACCATTTCCAAGATTAAAACAATGGATAGCTGACCAGTAAGCGCGGCAGAAAAAAAAAAAAAAAAAATCAGACTGCAGGA